ATTTGTCCCTCCTTTCCTGCACCCCCACATGCACCTCCTTCCTTCTGGCTCCCTAAGCTCTAGCCTGGGTGAGCAGCACCTGGACACTCCTGTACCTACAGTCACTAGCCACTGCCCAGTCTGTCTTGAACACAGGCCTCAACTTCCTCAGGGTTAAAGGAGGAGGAACAAATGTGTGCACATTTGCTTTTCCAACCTGGGCACCATTTGGCAGTTGATTCGGGCCATTCTCGCACCACCACCACCCTGCCCATGTATCCCCGTTTCCGGCCTGTTTTCCTCTGCAGCCAGCGCTCCTTTCTTGTGTTGCCAAGTTGGAGAGCTGAACTGCGATCACGTATGGACAGGGTGCCTGGCAGGTACCAAGCACCTTAGTACCAATTCCCCAGTCCCTGGTCTTGCCATCTCCCTCCCTCATTCATTTAGCAGGCATCAGCGGAATCCCATCTCCTATGAGCTCCTGGCCTCCCATCAAACGCTCTGCTGCCACCCACCCCCACCTGATCAGAGGGCCACACCCTGTACTGGGCAGTCCTCTCTCCAGTCCCTGCGACGCAACCTCTGGGAGCAGCCCCTTTGGGGATTCCTGGTCCTGGAGGACCCAGCCGGCTTCCCTGGGTGGGAGGGGATAAGGGGAAAGCCCGGCTTGGAAGCTTTCGCTCCTGACAGCCAGAGAGCTCACCCACTTCCGCTCCACCTAGCCTCCGGATTTCCTGTGGTGGTTCTGGCCCCCCAATCACGCTCCTCCTCCCACGAGGGTAGGGGGGTGTGAGGGTGCTGGGGGGGAGGGGTTCGTCCTGCACTCTTTCCTGCAGTCAGAAAATATGTACCCAACAGTACCTGTGTGCAAGGCAGTGTGCAGTCACTATAGATGCAGTGATGAACAAGGCAGCGTCCCTGTCCAACTGGTGTATACCCTCTAGCAGGAGAGACAGACCTGCATAACCAACTAATGATCAGTTATGTAATTACAGTTGTGATAAGGCCTATTTACAGTATTCTGCAATCACTAATCTTCATTTATCATGGAGCGTGCTCCACCATTGATCTGAGTGCATTAACTCATTTAACCCTTGCCACATTTTATGAGCAGGCACTGCTGTTACCCATTTTATAGATGAGGAAACTGAGGCATAGAAAGAGATCTGGCCAAGTGGCAGAGCCAGGGTTCAAAGCCAGGGATCTTGGCCCTGGGTTCTGTGGGTTATTACCGCCTCTGTGGAGGGGAGATGAGGTGCGGCGAGGCTCGTCATGGGGAGCCTGGCTTGGTCTCAGGGATCAGGGAAGGCGGATGTAAGGAAATAGCATTTGTGGTAAAATCTGAGGGTGAGTGGGTAGGTCAGGAAGAACATTCCAGAAAGAAGGAAGCCCATGAGCTGAGGTGGAGGACCTGAAAGGAGGCCAGTGTGGCTGGAGCGCAGAGAGGCCGTTGAGGGAGCCGAGTGGGAGGGCTGCGGCCTCTTGTATCGGCAGCACTGACCCCGCACAGTCCTTGGGCTCTAGTGACTTTTCAGTGTTTACCTAACTCAAATGAGTGAACGGTGTTTGCTGTTTCCTGCAAAGGTCCCAGGGGTTGTGAGGTACACAGGTCCCGTGTTTGGCCATAAACAACCTGAAGTGAGGCTTGGTCTCCTTCCCTGGAGCCCAGGCTGTGCCTCACGTGGGGTACCCCAGCGTGAAGTATGACTGCCTGACTCAGGTCCCTCTCCTGGTCCAAGTCACCCCCACCCAGCCCCATCCCTCATTGTTGGAAGACCTGGAGTCCCTGCTGCTTCACTGTGCAGGCTCCTCTTCTGTCACCACCTGTCGTCAGGAGGTGACAGGGATGAGGCTGCAGTCGGGACTTGCAGGCAGAGAGGGTTGGGTGAGACAAAACGACAGGATATGGTGACAGACTGGGAATGAGAACGAAGGAAAGGGAGGAGTCGGTGATGACTGGAGTAAGGTGGGAGCACTGACACCGCTCCCCCTCCACTTGCCCCCATCCTGCGGTAATGGACAAGCATGTGGGCTTTTCATTTTCTGTGGGGATGTGACCAACTTAGAACCTCCCCTCCTTACACATGCTCCTGTTTGGAAACCTCCTGCACCGAAGAGACAGGTGGACAGACCTTCCTCCTTGCCCCTTGTCCTCACTTCTTCCATCCTTCTCTCCCATCCTCTCTACTGATTGGCATCTGGTGGCCCCCAAGGTGACACAGCACTGGATCGGCTGCCTGCGTAATTAGCAAATCATTCTTAATTGCCCCAGAGTGGAGAGAATAAAGGTGAAGGCAAGAGCCCAGGTTCAGGATCTGCTTCTTTGGGTTTATGGCAGAGACGAGGGAAGCAGCAGTGAATCTGGGTCAGGAGTGGGTGCTCCCTGCTCCCTCCTCCCCAGTAGCTTGTAGGTCAGCTGCTGGTCTGACTCCAAAATCCACCATCCCTCAGCCACCCGGCCCTCTCAGAAGCTGAAGTCCTTTCCTGTGTGTGAGCACCAAGCTGGAGCCTGAGGATGACGGGGAGGAGGGGCTCGGGGGTCTCCCCAGGTCTCCACGCTGCTCGTCAACACCACAGAGATCCTGTATGGCAGAAAATGGAGTCGCGGCGTGTGGGTGCAAGACCCAGCCTGACTTAATGGGGTCCCAGGACATCACACTCAGGTGCAGTACAGAGGCGGGAGCCAGAAGGTGAGCGGCGTGGCTTGGCTTGGTGGCCTGGGACCCCTCACTGCACAGTGTCCCTGACGACGCGGGAGAGGTAGGTCAGGAACATGGCCTCGGGACAGCAGATGCCGGCTTGCCTGACTTCCACGTCGCCCCTGGAGATACAAGAAGTCTGTCTTCCTGGACCGATTGGCTGGTGCTGTAACAAAGACCCATGTGATGCTGGGGGCAGAGATGGAGGAGAAACTGTTCAGTGTCCCTTGTCCATCAATAAGAGCAGCTGGAGCAGCAGGTGGAGAGGGAGCGGGCAGGGATGGAGGCAGGTGCAGGAGCTGGAAGGCCTGCCAGACTCTTCTCCAGGAGAGGCTCTATTGAACCCCTTATGCCACCACAGCTGTGCAGGGTGCACCTGAGGCCTCACTAGCTGCTCCTGTATGTCCCTGTCATCTCTCACATGTCCCCACCTAATCCTGCAGGTCCCGTCCCAGAGAACCACTACTACATGCCAGACCTGGGCCAAGTGCCCAAGGTCAATGTGCCATCCTACCTACTTGACCTGCCTGGCCGACAACCTCATGTATGGTGCCAGCCTGGGCTCCGGCATCACCCACTCTGCCCCTGGCAACAGGCTCAAGCCTCTCAAGCCAAGTGAGCTGGGTGCTAGGACGGGAGCCAAGCTCCCTGCTCAGCCACCTCCTTCCCTAGGCACCCCACACTCTCCCATTTCCATTTCTGACTTATAAGATGGCACGCTAACAGCACCCCAATCTCCCCGAGCTGCTGCGGTGCTGGTCAGTGCACCCTCATCCCCGCCCCAGGCCCTGGCCACCGCAGTCCAAGGCGTCGGGCAGAATGACAGCAGCAGCATCCTCTTCAGGTGGGAGTTTTCTGAGGCCACCTCAGTCTCATTTCTGGACCCCTGGTGGATTTTCCGTGGGGCTGTTGTCAAAAATCCCTTATTTTTTTTTAATAGTTCTCATTTCGTGTTCTACTTGGCTCATAAAATAGTGGTTTTCAAACGGTAGAGCCCTGGAATGCCCACCTCTATGGGAGAGGGAGCCTGGACAAGTCTGGCCCCGGGGCCCTCATTCTTAAACCAAAGATAAAAGAGGGTCTAATAAACAAAAACACTATAGGGGCAGGAACACAGAGCTGGGGGTTGAATGTGACTGAACCCCACACCCCCCTCTGTGACCTTCCTGTTGCAGTGAGAATCATAAGCCAAAGTAGGGAGCTGATGTGGGATCTCAGCAAGCTGGTTCTGAGATGCACGCGTGGGAGGCAGGGCTGCTGTCTGCTGTGGGCTGGGGCATCATTAATCCCCTCTTGCCTTTTTCTTCCTGTGTTTAAGTCTCTGGGGCATGGGGGAACCAGCGCTCCCCACAAACCATCCTCACTCAGCCTTTGCCCTCCAGCCTTTTCACCACTGGGGCTGGTGAGGGGCTGAGAGGAGAGAGCCCCTATGTCAGATGACAAACCATCTCTGCCAACCCCCAGCAGCCACAGACACAGGAAGAAGAGGACAACTGGAAATCCGAGGGGGATGTGCCATGCCTTCCTCCCCTAAACCCAGACTCTGGCCGTGGCCCGGACGTGGACACAGCCAGAATGGGCTCCTCAGCCCTGCTGCCCTGGAAGGGGCGGGGATGGAACTGGCCCAGGTCTGTGTGAGGACCACCTTCAAGGAGTGCGAGGCTGGCTTGAGGCCACGTGGCTGGGGCGGGGGCTTCTGTCTGCCTGTGCTTCGTCCAGGGATGGCTCCACCCAGCCCCTGCAGCAGTGCGCTCTTCGATTTCCTAAAGAGGCTTCCAGAGAAAAAGGCAGCACAAATCAATTAAAAACTCAGCAGAAACCAACAGTACACTTTTAATTAAGGACGTGTAGCTGTGCAGGATGCACACATCTGGGCATCAGTGACTCTCCTCTGGCCCCTGTTGGTCCCTAATGGCGGCAGAAGATGCCAGCTGGCCATGGCCCCTTTCTCTGGGGTCAGAGGGAGAAGACAGGCGCAGTCAGCAGGGGCAGCTGTTGCAGGTGGGAGGGATATTTTCCCACAGGAAAAAAGGTCTCCGTGATGACACGGGGTCCCTATAGTCAAGTTGAGAGCCTAATGGCCCTTGGCATAATTGATGGTGTGGGGTAGAAGGTGTCTTGGAGTTTGTTTAAGTGGTTGAGAGGGAAGGAGGTGCCACGGACTTGGAGGAACTGGTGCGAAGCCAGGGAGACACAAATCCAGGCAGGGCTGTGGGACGGGTTAGGGAGCAGGGCTGCAGGTGTGACTCAGGAAGGAGGGGCAGGTGACAAGGCCCTGGGCAGGAGCCCTGCGGCCATGGGATCATTTTAAATTGAGACCAGAGAAGGAGGGGAAGGTGACAAGCCCTGGGCAGGAGCCCTGCGGCCATGGGATCATTTTAAATTGAGACCAGAGGATGAGCAGTCCAGGGCAGTTAACCTTGGCTAGAAACGGCAGAGGCAAACAGGCCTGCTCTATCTCAACTCTTAAGAAGGTGGGCAGGATGGAGATGCCACAGTGGATGCCACAGTCGCCACAGCCTCCTGTGGAGACTAGGCAGGAAGCCTGGCTCTCAGCCATGCAGGATGGAAAGGAAGATTCTGTGCCAGGAGGGGAGCTGCCCTGGAATGCCCCAAGGCCAGCCAGGACCCACTGTTTCTTCAGGATTCCCCCATTTTCTCCTACAGGGCTAATGCCCGTGCCTGGGCGCTGGCAGCGCTCTGGACTCCACACTCTCCTCCCGGGTTTCACCCTTGTAACAGGATCCCTGTAGACCAGGCCCACGACAAATACTGTCTCCAGCAGGCAGGGCAAAGGAAGGGCGCGGCGCCAGGCGGTGGTGTGGCTGCCCATCAGGAAGAGGCCGACTTCTCCCGGTGAAACTGGACAGACAGAAGGCAGTGAGAAACGAGATCTCGGGGTGGGGAGGCTCTCAGAAAGAAAAAGGTGGGACTGACCTTCTGCACAGCAGCAATGGCAGGGCCAAAGGTAGCTTTAACCTCCACACGGGCTCGGATCCAGGCTGGCAGCTTGGCCAGGACAGGGGGCCGGGCGTATCGCTGGTCCAGGAGCACTATGCTGGCAAAATCCTTCTGGTGCCTGATGGCCCTGCCTGCACAGGAACAGAGGCTGCGGCTCCGAGTAACACCTGCCTCCCCACAGCACATTCCCATGGCGTCCCCTCCCCTTCCTCAGACTTATTTAGGAGACAGAGCAGGCAACCCCCCTTTCCTGTTCTCCCCTTCTCCAGCTCCCATCTGTCCACCCAGTCGGAGGCAGCCGGGCTCACCTATGGACTGGTTGACGGCCTTCATGCACAGGTTCTCCACCAGATTCTTCCCTGGGGGCGCCTGGCCTGGGGCTCTGGGCTGGGGGTGGAGGGGATGACTCATCAGGACGGTTTCCTGCCTGCAGCTCTCCCTGGGAAGAGACCCTGCCAGGCTTTGGAGCCAGACCAGGAGGCTTCGTGGCCAACGCCAGCAGCATGGGCCCAGGTGACATCACAGAGAAGATCAAGAGGGTGTGGAGGGGCATCCAAGCCTCCGGAGGGGGCAGGAGACGCCAGCACAGTGGGGAAGGCCCGGCTGTATCAGCCCTAAGGGCGACGCCACTCCCACCCACCGCCCACTCTCCTCTCCCGCTCTGCGACACTGGGGTCACTCACGAGGGTTTGATCCAAGTAGGCCATCTTCTCCTGCAGCTCTGGAGACCTGATGTTGGGGAAGGGCATGCCCACCATCACCACACACCTGGAGAGAGGCAGGAGCCCAGGCCGGGTGGGTGTCAGGACCTCCCGGGTCATCACCCACATTTCACCAGCTGCTCTGTTCTACCCCTTCCTCAGCCCTCTCCGACTGTGATCAAAGCTTTGACCCTCCCTGCTCTGTACCTACCGCCTGGAGAGGGCTTGTTCAGCTGAGAGATCCCATCTAGGCCAATGGATTGGATACTGATACCGCAGTGGCCAGCCTGATTTTCCACCTGCTCTCCCAGGGCCAAACCCAGAGCTGCTGAGCCCCTCCTTCCAGCTGGCTGGTCTGAGCAGTTGTAGCCCAGTTGTGGGCTCTAATGGCAACAGACACAGGCAGGGGCCCAGCTGCTGGGAGTGAGGGCCGGCCAGGTATCATAGTCCAGGACAGGAGCAGAACCACTACTTACCGGCCTAGGTTGTCAGAGAAGTTGATCCCTTCACTCATCTTTCCTCCAACAACAGAGAGGAGAAGGGCCCCCGTCACCCGGCCTCTCTCCTGGCCACAGGCCTGCGGGAGACACCCAGATGCTGAGTTCCCGAGCCAAAGCTTGGATGTCACCCACGTTTCCAGCTGCCACCCCCGCACAGTCTCAGACCCAAGCTCAGCATTAACGGCCGCACCTGAATGCACCTGGAATACGCCAGCAGCACCTGCTCCACCTGGTGCGCGCTCTTAGGTTCCTGGAATATCTGAGAAAGACAGAGGACATCTCCCAGAGACAGGTTCAGGGTGCCAGGTCTCGGTTCTGTTGGTGGCCTTGTTTTCTGGCCAGGGGACTGAAAACCTCACAGCCAGGGGCTTTGGGGAAATCCTCTGCAATCAGGGACTGGGAGCACCGGGCATGAGGAGCCAGAAGCCTGTCCTGACTCGATGAGCACAAGAGCTCCCAGGAGGACTCAGTGGCACTGTCCTCAGGAGTGGGAGGGCCGGCGGACAGGCCACTCACCTTCTTCCTGGCAGCCAGGCGGCCCAGCAGGCCACCCTTCTCCCAGTGGGCATGGACCTGGCGCAGGTACTCGTAGGAGGGGAAGAAACAGACCACCCCTCCAGGAACCACACTGCACAGGTTACAGAGGATGCGACCCGCCTCGTCCATCTAACAACGGAAGAGAGGAAGCCCCCATGGAGCCACGTCTCAGTCACCCACAAACCATCTTAACCTGAGACCTAAAACTGAGGAGAGACCCACAGCAGGACTACAGCCAAGGAAGAGGACTTGGCTCCCCTGGGTGGGAACCGCAGGGTGGCAGGTGCCGCCTCCCACCAAACACACCCAGCCGCTGCTGCGGACTGCGCCTTTCTGACACACGTCACAGCACTAGTGTCCCTGGGGGCCTTCCTACTGCCCTGGCACTGAGTCCTCCCGTCTTCACTCCAGGGTCCTGATGGGCACCGCAATGACAATCAGGGGCTGCACGCCCCAGGAGATGCCCCCCAAGCCCCGCATCCCTGCCACCGGCAGGAGCAGATATAACCAAAGGGCAAGAGAGCTAAAGGGAACCAGCAGCTTTCCTCTGCATGAGGCATCCTCAGGGGATGCCTGGAGGTTTTAAGAATATGTACTTCACAGCCTAAGGGGTGAGGGGCGGGGAAGCTCAGACCTTCCTCCATAAGCATCTAGATCGATGCCGCTCGTTCTGTGAGGCTCTATAGTGGGTGCCCTCCTCCCCCCCCAGCCCCACGCAATTTCCCCAACACCTGAAAACACTCAGGGTGGGCCAGAGTGCCCCTGCCCCGGAAAACCCTTTGCTGCCTGAGCCCAGGCTGTGGCACGGCGAGCTGGCTGGGACTGACCATCTGAGGCAGCTCTCTTTTCTGGAACGTGAATTCCAGTGGCTGGTTGGAGATCCCGCTGCAGATGACAAGGGGCAGGATATTGTCTGGAGGGATCACGTGACCTGGTAAGAGCCAGGGAGGGGCCGAAAACTGGAGATGCAGGGGTGCTGAGACACAGTGCAGAAAGGGCATTTCCCCGCCCCATCTTCCAGCACAGGAGCAGCGACTGACAGCGCTCACCCACCCACCAACGCCAGTCACACTGGGCAGCAGGCAGCAGGGAGCAGAGCAGGAGAGCCTGGGCGAGCGCACAAAGGGCAAGGCTCCCATCCCGGGGTCTCCTCCGCCCCTGTGCCTTGTTGCAGTAAGAGGTTACACGCAGAAAACAGGAGCCAGAACCTGACCTCTAGCCTGCCCCACCCTGGGCACGGCTCCTCACCACAGGAAAACTCCACCACGCGTTCAGCTTCCACCCCGGCACAGGCCAGCAGCTGCTGCCGGAAGTCAGACACCTGCAGACCAAGGCCACAGCGTCACGGCCTCGTGACCCCTCAGAGGCCCGGCAGAAAGGAAGCGAGAAGTCTGGGCTAAGAGACAGCAAGTACACACACACTGAAAGAAGAGGTCAAAGAAAAGGCTGACGGCAAACTAACAAAAAGAAAAATGGTGACTGATACCCAGTGCTGACAGCCTCGTTTAAACTATGTGCAGGAACAGCAAAGGAAATCCAGCAAATCTGGCACAGTCAGTCTCAACCCTGGCTATGCAGCAAAATTATAGTGAAAATTTTCAAAAATATAGGTGGCCAGGTCCCAGCTCAAACTACTGAATAAGAATCTCCAGGTTTTCACCTGTTAGACGGGCAAAAATCCAGAAGTAACCAATCCAAAAGAGAAACAGGCATTCCTAGACGTTACTGGTGGGATACAGAATGTCCAATTCTTATGAAGGGGAATTTCACAATAGTTAACAAATTAAATGTATTTATACTTTTAAACCCAGGATCCCATATTTAAGAGTTTACTGAAAATATACAGCCACAAATACCAAACAGCATGTGCCCCGGGCCTTTCCCTGTAACCGTGCACCTGCCTCTCCAGAGAGTACTGGTTGAATGAGCTCCCTACATCTGCCAGACGGAGAACCACGCAGCCCACTAGAGGAGCAATGGCTGGGACAACTGACTAAGATGCCTTCTATGTAAATAAAACAGGAAAGGGAAAAATGAAGACACATTTTTGCTTATTTGGGGGAAAAAGAAAGACTGCAAGGACAGGCTAGCAAAACTGACTCCCTGTGGGGGTGGGGAATGGGCTGGAGAAGGACGAGAGTGAGGCTTTCCTGAATAGATCTTTTTATATTAGCTTTGACTTTTGAACCACACAAATATTTACATAGTTAAAAACTACAAGTCAGAAAAGAAAAAAGCATATTCTAAAATTGAAAAGAAAATGAAACAAAAACAGCCTAGCTCTCTATGAAACGGACAATAGAAGCACACGGAGAGAAGCCTGGCTCCACGACTTTAGAGCCTAGTGACCAGACATCCTTAGTGCGTCAGACTGTTAAGGGCAAAGAGGAAAGGCAATTTCAATCAGATTTATTGTTAGAAGTAATATTGGTATTATGATTTCAAAACTTTTAAGTATATTATAGGATAGAGCAGATAAGTATGTTAATGTACCACAAATGTTCAGGCTTAAGAGAAAAAGAGGTACAATATAAGCTCAAGTAAACAAATGCTTTGATTTTTACTTAGAAATACCAATATGCGCCAGGCGTGGTGGCTCATGCCTGTAATCCCAGCTCTTTGGGATGCCAAGGCTGGCGGATCACCTGAGTTCGAGACCAGCCTGACCAACATGGTAAGACCCCATCTCTACTAAAATACAAAAATTAGCTGGGTGTGGTGACACATGCCTGTAATCCCAGCTACTCAGGAGGTTGAACCACGAGAATTGCTTGAACCCAGGAGGCAGAGGTTGCAGAGAGCTGTGATCCACATCTAGATGTGTATAAGAGACAGCTGCACTCCAGCCTGGGAGACAGAGCAAGACTCCGTCTCAAAAAAAAAAAAAAAAAAAGGAAAAAAAAGAAATACCAGCATGGATTCATTCTGAAACATTTCCTAGATCTGTCTACTGAAATGTCCCAGGAGCATGACAAACCCCTAGCACCCACAGCTTGATTTCCAAACGTCATTCCCCATTACAAGAAACCAGGGCAGCTTGGAGAAATGAATCCAGTGTGGGGGCAAGGACACCCATGGTGAACCCTGGACATTCTGTTGTGCTGGAGGCAAGACTGACTGGGCCACAGCGAGGACCTGAGCTAGCAGGAAGGGGCTGTCACATCAGCTGAGACAACGTGAATGTCAGAAACAATAATGACTATGAACAACTTTAGTATGCTGAATGAATAGAACTATGAATCTATAAATACAAAAATATAAAAATCAAAAGCTAAGGCAGCTGGGGCTGGGAAGCACTGCTTCAGGATTCCCAACAGCTTTTCGTCCAGGAGACCCTTTCCTAGGTGGGAGTCACCACTGTGCAGAGATGCCGTTATATTCATCCCAATCATGCTCAAAACAGAAAACTGCAAATAACCTGCACACCTAGTGAAACAGGAGCACCTACATGAAATGCTATATATCTGTGTAACTGGAATCCAGCACAGCTCCGATACTGAAATACGCACATGCTTGCTGACAAGGAGACAGGTTTATGACCCTCTGCTGCTGAGTGAAAAGAGCGAGTTCCAGTGACAGCACGTGGAGGGAGCCGCACTTTTGTTTTTAAAATAGGTATGCACATAAGTAAAAATTATGCCTACAAAGACTATTATATTCATATACATCAAAATGAACCTTTTAAAAGTGGAATCCTAATTTTTTTCTTTGAGTTTCAAGCCACAGAACAGCTTTCTCTGGGAGACATGTGATCCTGGCACTAGAGAATGGAGCAGCAGAGGAGTCCCTGCTGCCCCTCCAGCCTAAAAGGCACAGCAGTGAGACAGAATAGCAGTGTCACCCAGTGGACACCACTGGGCCTGCTCGAGCTGACCCTTTCTGGCTTGGGGCCCCAGGAGAGAACAGGACTGAATATGCATCTCTCCAAAGCCCCCATCTCATCCCAACACATGGGGCACAAGGGGCTGGGAAAGGCGTCCTTACCGGCTGCATGGTCCCCCCTGCAATGACCACTGCCCGGCACTCCTTCACCACTTGGGCAAAGTGCACAGCTGGATTCAGGAGCAAAAACTTAAGGGTGCTCTGACTGAGGCTGCCTGGAAAAACAGATCGGTGGGGAGGTGAGTGCAAGCCAACAGACACTTCTACTGTCCCAGCAAAGGGGGTCCCCAGGTAAGTCCAGGTCTGAGGCACAAGTGCTAGTGCCTTCTCTTTAAACACCATTTAATCTCTAGGACAACCAGCCCACAGAGGTGGACCATACTATCCTCTCCATTTTCTTTTTTTGAGATGGGGTCTCAATTTGTTGTCCAGGCTGGAGTGCAGTGGTGCAATCTTGGCTCCCTGCAACCTCCGTCTCCTGGGTTCAAATGATTTTCCTGCCTCTGCCTCCCAAGTAGCTGGGACTACAGGTGTCCGGCTAATTTTTTGTATTTTTAGTAGAGACGGGGTTTCGCTGTGTTAGCCAGGATGGTCTCAATCTCCTAACCTCGTGATCCGCCCACCTCGGCCTCCCAAAGTGCTGGGATTACAGGCGTGAGCCACCGCGCCTGGCCTATCCTCTCCATTTTCATACAAGGAAACTGAAGTTGAGAAAGAAAACAGTCCAAATCACAAAGCTCATAGATGACAAAACCATGACCCAAACCAAAGCCCATCTGCCCCACAATGTAAGCTTCCCTAGGACTCTTGCCCGAGAGGACTCCCATCCCAGCCCCTCGATCTTCTCCTGTCCGCCTCCACTGCTTGCCCAGGTCACAGCAGGCCAGTGCCCACTGCACTGCTTCCTCCTAACCCGGAAGTTCCCACGATGGAAGGAAAGAATCCTTTCACACTGCGGCTCCCTGGCTCAGCTTGGCTCCTTCCTGGGAACTGAACCTGGCCAAGAAGCACCTGATTACCTTGGCGGCTCAGGATGACCCTGCCGTCCTGGTTGGCTGTAGTGAGAGCTGCCAGGAAGCCTTCGATGTGCATCAGTGGGGAAGCTGGTCGCGGGGCGCTAGCCTGACTCTCGTCTGTGGGGGCTGCAGGAGCTGCACAGAGCAGAACGGGGAGGAGGCCTCCTTGTGGTCAGGTCCACATGCAAGGAACCGACGTCCTTGCCCAGGTTTGCAGCTGGCTCTGCTTGCCCACCCCACTGCCTTACCTTCAGTCGTCCTGGGCTGCAGGCTCTGCAGGAATTGCTGAAACCCAGCCAGTTTGGGCTGCTCCCGGGATGAGAGCACTGCTCCATACCGTTCTGTGAATCCAAAGAGCTGGGTGGAATGAGAGCGAGCAGCGGAGAGGAACGAGGAACAGCCGTGAAAGAGAGGCTGGGCGGATCGGAGGCTCTGCCAGGCCCAAGACGCCTGCAGCACACATCCCACCACCCCAGCAAGGCCCACTGCACCAAGGAGGGTGGAGATGAAGGGGACTCCGGAGTTCCCTGAGGGCAGGGGAGGAAAGCATGGCAAAGGCAGGGGGTCGGGGCACAGTTGGGTCACGTTCAGGACCGTAAGACGTGAGCAGTTACCTTTCTGCTGATCATGCTCTTCTCACAGTATCGCTGCACCTGCAAAAACCAAGTCCAGCTGTAGGCATGTGTGCAAACTGAGCAAGCTGTAATCTTCAAAACAAAACAAAAAAAACACACACCACTTTTACCACCCAGGCAGCACAATGCAGTGCCACCTTCTGAGGCACCCAGAGCCTCCCTGCCAGCAACCCTGTCATCCCCTCTCCGAGGCCACCCCCTCCTCTACTGCCCCTGCCCACAATGCAGTGGCCTCCTCCTTTCGGAAAGGGGAGACCCTCTTTCCAAAAGTGTTTCTCAAGTCTAAGAGTGCTCAGTACAATCTAGGTCCCCTTGGCTTTCCTTCCAGGTGACAGAGTTAAAAAAAGGAACTTCTATGAGCAAAGCCACCAAGTTGGTGCATCCAGTATGTGTGGTTTGGTGCCAGATCTCAGCTGGGGATGCAGAGAGGGGAGTTTGGAGCCTTTAAACTGGTTTCTAAAAAGAGCGACATCCTTCGATGAGGATTCCCTTGATGGTGGGTGATGAGACCCATGGGAAGGAGAGAGAAGGAAAGCAAGAGGGGCAGAGGGATGGCGAGGAAGGAGCGCCTGCATCCATGTCCCAGCTGTGAGTGAAGCGCAGTGATGGCAGGACTGTCTGAGGGCTGTTGGGCCTGGCGGCTATCACAGGCATGTGGCAAACAAGGGAAGAAAGGCATCAACGATGACCTGGATCCAGCCTGTCTGGCAGGGATGGTGGCAGTGACAGTGACCCAAATGGGTAATTCAGGGGGAAAGCTGGTTTTAAGAAAAAAAACGCAGGCAGGATGGGATGAATGCGGGGCCCCGACTCAATGTAGCCAGGTTTGGACGCTGTCTCTGCCGTGTGCTATTGGCTCACTTGGGGGAAGACTGTGCTCGTCACCCTCTTGAAGTCACCTCCCTGGGCCTGTTTGCTTTCCTTGCTGGGGCAAAAGGATATCCTAGCTCAGAGCCACAGCACATGGCATGCCGCCTAGAACACAAGCAGAACCCTGTACCCGGGGACAGTCACTGTTGCTGATCTGAGTTACAAAGTTGGGGTTCAGGCGGCAGTGGCCATGTTCCATGTGGGGAGTGCCGGGTATGCAGACCTGGAGTGAGCAGAGGTCTGAGGCTGCAACCAGACCCAAGGTCCAAGTGGGAAGACGTGATGAGTTGCACAGAACAAATCAATGTCCTGCTCCTGTCCATAAGCCTGAGAGACTGTGCCAGAGGACGGAGTGAGGCGGCGAGGACCTGGAGTCTCTATCTGTTCTATGAGGCACCAAGAAGTCTCTTTCTCACCCATCCCTGTCGCCCTCACCCTAAAGGAAGATGACTTTTGTCTCGCAGGCATGCTGCGGGTTAAGGGTTATTACATGTCTATGTTTTGCTTTTTCTTCCTTCTATAGTCTTAACATAGTACTCTACGCACAGTGGTGATAGGAAGGAAATTGGATGTGGAACGTGGAAAGGTGGAAACCCCTACCTTGAACAGGTTGATGTTGTCAATCTGGCTCTGGAAGAGAAAATCGTTGATGGTCTTCAGCTCTGTCCCTGAGAGCAAACACACGAAGGGCCTTGGGAGCTTCACCCTGAGCCTCGGGTTTCAGTCCCAGGGTTAAGCTCGGAAGTGGCTCAGATCAGCTCTGGGCCCTCTGAGGGCAACTCTCTTACCTGTCTGTGAGAGGCTCTGTGTATTGGGATTTTGCTTAATGTTCCCTAAAAAAGAGAATGGAAATTGGTCACAATGGTGGTTCTCTGGCCCCTCAACCCTTCCCTATCTCCTCTCCCTCGGCACTGCACGTCAAGTGAGAAGAGCATCCATACTTGAAGGGCTTTGTTTTGTTTTTCGCTATTTATAGCATGCAAAGGACCCACCAAGAGGGCAGGTGGCTCCAGGAGCCTCCCACATCTGACTCACGTACTTCCACATGGAACCCAAAGCCCTGTAAGTTCATGTTTTTCACCCCTTCTCTAGGAGGCCAGGACACAGTGGCCAGACCAATGCATGCAGGGCACGGGACCACACAGGAGCTGCCCAGGCCACGTGGGGAGCCTGAGGCAACGCAGAGCTGGCGGCTCAGAGCAGCAGCACGAGACCAGCTCCCGCTAGAAGCTCCCACAGGCTTTCTGCAGCTTCCACTTCCACAGACGCCTTCCAAGGGGGTGCCCCATCATAAAAGAAGGGGACATGACAGGGTCATGCAAAGAGGCATGGGAGCCGGAGTCAGAAGATCCCAGGCTTCCGTGCTGGGCTTGGGAACCGTAAGCAGCCATTGCACTGAGGTCTAATTTATGCGTCATCAACAAGGATTCAAATGCCAGCACTACTTTCTCACAGGGCACACAAAACCGCATATGCAAGTGCTTCGAACACCCCACAGCGCTATGCCCATCACGGAAACACTGTGTGTTCATATGATGCTGTATCCTTACTATCCCCCCAGAGCAGGGCCTGAAATAGAAAGTCCTCAGAACATGGGCAAAGAACCCAAGGGCCTAAAAAAAGCTCAAGTCAGACGACTCAACTAAGCTACAAAGAACAAGAATTTTCTCAATCAATGACCAAGACCCTTCTTTTTTCTTTTTTTTGAGACGGATTCTCACTCTGTTGCCCAGACTGGAGTGCAGTGACACGATCTCGGCTCACTGCAACCTCTGCCTCCCGGGTTTGAGCAAGCAGTTCTCTTGTCTCAGCCTCTGGAACAGCTGGGACTACAGGCCACACCAACACTCCCAGCTAGTTTTTTTTGTATTTTTAGTAGAGATGGGGTTTCACCACGTTGGCCAGGTTGGTCTCAAACTCAGGTGAATCACCTGCCTCAGCCTCCCAAGTGCTAGGATTACAAGCGTGAGCCACCGCGCCTGGGTGACCCTTCTTAAAAACAGAGAATTGAAGCATCCTGATGGGCAACCAAGGAAAAAGCTGCCTGGCAGGTTGTGCAGACCGAGGGTCAGCAGGGGGATGGGGCTCTCACCCCCCAGCACGGCCACGAATTTCTCCAGCAAATACAGGATCTGCTTCAGGTACATCAGGTTCTTGGCCTTCAAACGCTTCCTGAGAAGAAGCCAATGGACATTAAGTGGTGGTGCCCTGACAGTGACTCGCCCCGCCCACCCCAGTGGAAGCCTTGTGCCCAGTGCCTCTCAAATTGGGTCACAAGCTACAAATCCTTTCCCAGAGAGCAGGCTGGCCATGGTGCCAGGCCTCAGAGCCAGTGGTCGGTCCCCAGCCTTCCAAGTCTGTGTGTAGCACACACCATGATGTGCCCAGGACATGAATGGCACGCAGCTCCACCCCACCACAGCCCAGGCCAGAGGCGGGAACCAAAGTGCTGCCTCTCCGAGGCCAATGCAGGGGGCCGCCAAGGGACTGTCCCACTACCTCAGAGGGTCACATCTCACCCGTATCGCTCCATGTACTGCAGCAGCTGGGAATGGGCCTGGCAAAGCTGGGGAAAGAACACAAACCAGGCTCTGGGCAAGCAGCCGAGGGCTGAGCTGTTGACATCTTAGATTTGCCTAGAAGATGCTGGCCCTGGACACACAGGAAGCCACCAAAGGGAGGAGAGGGGGCTGGGTGCAGACAAAAGGTATGGGTTTCCACAGCCCTCAGGCTGGTGGGAGCTAAGAGAGAGGGGAAGGAAGAGAAGTTTTCCTCCAGCGTCCACTGTGGGTTAGAGAAAAGCAAGAGGCTGAATCCCTCAAGTACGGAATCCCCTGCTAGTTTCCACCGGGTTGGGAAAAGACCTGGAGTCTACAAAGTGATGGTTCAAGGTCACCATCACATCCCGGCCTCAATTCAACCCAGGCACGGGTCAGCAGAGCTGGTGGGATGTTGTGGGGGGTTTCACAGTCAGAAACCAGTGGGCACACCCCAGCTCCACACTCATGAGCTGCATGACCTTAGGACACAGCTTGACCATGTCTGAATCTCTAAGTTCTCAATGTAAAACAGGAACACCACCCCCATGGCAGAGTTAGCGTGAAGACCAGGGACACCTGGTGCCATGCAAGGCGCACAATAGGTTGGCAGGAGGAGCCTGCACTGATCTTGAGCATTCCTCAATTCAATTCCCTCCAGGCAACTGCAGTAACAAAATCCAGTCCTGAGGGGACTTCTGCCTCACTCATGCCATCTCCTTGGCTTACAGAGCTGGCTGCTGGTATCCAGCGCTGGAGGGACACGGGAGCATGGAGGCAGGTAAAGTGCAGGGAAATGAGCCATTCTGCCGTAGCGGGGTCCCCAGGATGCAGTGGAAAGCCATGGTCAGCCTCCGATGAGGTCACTGCCTTGACTTATGCACCCTCTAGCAAGCCCCACCTCCGAAGGAATTCTTGGCCCAGGTGTCTGGAGGAACCATGCAAGTCCCTTTACCTCACGGCAGCCCTGGCCCGAGGAGGGGAGGCCCACGCACCTGGGAGCCGCTGACCTCCACGCTGTGCATGCCCGTGATGGTGTCTATCAGGTTGTGCGCTTCGTCGATGATCACCACCTGTTCCTGCAGCCGGATGCCCGCAGCCTGCCGAGTGGCAGCATGCAGCAGCATCTGATAGGGCAGCACCACCAGCTGGGAGGGGAGATGAGGCCACCTGAGCAGGGCGGGGCTCCCCTGCAGAAGCCTTGCCTGCCTGACACTGAGGTCCTGATGTGAGTGCTTCTATTTCCTGCCTGGACTATGTAGCGCCATTCGAAAGTAGAGTGTAGCAACGGACAAGCTTTCCTTGAGCTTTAAATGAAACGCCAACATATGAAACACAGGAAACGGGCTGGTCTGACTCCTGAGTAAACCAAGGGCAGGGCTGGGTGAGGGGAACCCCTGCTTAGCCTTGTCCATGTCCTCAAGGTCGCCCCGGAAGCCCCCGAGTTTCTGCAAAACACCTGAAAACCACTGGTGCGCCAGGAAGGGGCCCCAGTTTCTGCTCCTGGAGCTGCTACTTCCCAGCTGTGTGACTCTGGGAGTTGTCTAACCTCTCTGACCCTTGGTTTCCTCATCTGCAAAATAGGGTTGATATATCTCAAGTGAGGGTTGAGTGGAGCTGGGGTAACAAAAATAAAAGCAACTCTGCAGATCTTTAGGTGTTTGTTGTTAGGAAAGTTTCCAGTTAAAGGAATACTCATATAAAAAGTGAAATACCAGAAAACTGAATGGCTCCATCACTCACGGTTGGTGAGAAAATAAAAGTCGCTTAACTTTTCTGGGCTCCAGTGTCCCCATGCATAGAATTCCACTGGAATACTATTAATATAAAAGCAAAATATGGTCAAAGTGCTTTAAAAATTCAAAAATTGTAAAGATTTTGAGCCATATTAGGATATTTGTGTATAAATGCCTACAGCACTAATCTTGCTCTAAAGGCAAACAGACCGGAGGGAAGGCCTGGGACATCATGGGGCCTGGCAGCTTCTCTCCGTTTCTCTGCCAGCGCCCACACAGCTCAGCAGGTATGCTGGTGAGCATTCAGCTGCCGTGCAAAATGGTTACTTAGTTCCCCGAATCTTTTAAAACTTTAAATTTTTTCTGGATTATACAGCATTTTCCACAAGTGATATCCTGTTTCCAAAGTCACTCAAATTAAAGTAGCAAGAAAACAGTGGAATTGCACCCACCAAATAACCGTGAGATACTCTTTTTGATCTGCTACATTAGCAGTTCTTCCTTCTGTTTAAAAATCAAGAGAAGTTGAGGCAGAGAAGACAGTATTGTCACGTGCTGCAGGTAGGTGTATGCTAGGAAAGCTTTCCAGTTACAAAAATGAAAAATAGGAAAACTGAATGGTTCCATCGCTGACGTGCGCCATCACATGATAGGCATGGAAGTTGGGAGCATCACTTGGAAAGCCATTTGTAAACAGATTTAAGTACCGCACTCTTCTCAGCTCCTGGCATCCTCTCCCTGTGGTTTCACTAGGAATGCACATGCTTCCTGGCTCCTAAATACTATCCCCAGTAATGCCAACTGGCCCTGCTGCCTGGAGCCCCCAAGGGATCCCACGCGCCACCTCCAACTCACGCATCAGGAAAGAATGGGTTAGGTACTGTCAGTCTGAACTCGGTAGGTGGCATCCCCCAAAATACGGTGTGATGAAGACTCCCCTCATGTCCTAGACCACAGTGAGAGCAAGCGCGGCTTTCCGGCCCTGCAGGGCCCTCACCTGGGCTGCAGGGATGGCAAGGCGGCTCCCGTAATAGGGACAGGCCCGGGCCTCCTTCCCAAGGGCCAGCAGCTGCTCAATGTCCTTCACCTCTGCCAGGGCCTCATCCCGGAGGAGGCCCATCTGCTCGTGGTTGTAGAAGGGGCAGGCCGCCTGCTTCTCCTGCCTCCTTCTCTTTGGCTTCTCCTCCTCAGCTCCTTTCTTCTTCTCTGAGGGTGGCACAGGCACCAGGAGAGAAAAGAGAGAGGACAGCAACTGTCCATGGGCCCAACAGAGGGCTCTGTAATGCTGAGACCCACTTCCATGGGGTAGGGTCTATAAGACCCTCCCAAGCACTGCCTACAGTGGTCTCACTGGAACACTATTAAGGTTTTACTTTTGTTCTCCAGAAAGAGCCTATAAAATCATCTCCAAACCAGTGATTCCCCGACACTGACCCAGAGAGTAGGAACACTTTTAACCAAGGAGAGGGGCCTCAGGAAGGAACTGGGGTCTCCTCTGCCATTCTTTCTATGAAAGATACTTAATGGTCTTCGGTCACTGCTACCCCTGCCTCACTCTCTCCAGACTGCCTGCGGCTACGCCATGGTCCCGATGGCTACCGTGCCTGCTTCTCTGCATGTCCACACAGCGATCGTTGATAAGCTGCACAGAACCTAGGCTTTTCACATCTTCGTTGACACAAAGGTTCTGCAACAAAGGAGAAAGAAAGAGGCAAAGAGATGGTGCCGGCTAAATGACATCTAACCAACACAGGTGGACCTGCCCCGCCTCTCCTTTGCCTTCCAGTGATGGGCTGGCCAGGCCAGGGAGGGGGCTGCTCCTCGCACTGGTCTCCCAGGCCTGGACGAGGAGGACAAAGCTGTGGGGAAAGGAGCAGGATGGCCGCTGGTGGAAACACTGGCCACTGTTTACCTGCCGGGAGCCAAGGGAGACCAGCCGAACATCCTTGCCAAAGGGGCTCTTCTTCACCTCATGCACAAACTGGGCCAGCTGGGAGTGTGTCCGACTACAGTAATAAATCTAGCAGAGAGAAAGAAAGGTGCTTCAAAGACGGAACCAAAACATCCCATGGCATTCTGTAACATCAAGGCACGCCAGGGCCTGAGAGGCTGAGGGAAAGGGAGTGGCTCTAAATGCACAAAGCTGAGGCAGGACAGCGATGTCCCACATCAGGCATCTATCTATCGAGGGACCCAGGGGTTCCCAAGTCACCCACAGCTCCAGAAGCTGCCCAAAGGCAGCTCCTTCCACGAGTCATATCCAGTCTCTAATCAACCACTTTGGAGGGTTGGCCAATCTTAGGACACGGGTGACCATCTCCCGTTGCAAACAGTCCCCACTTGGGGAGGGTGGGTTGTCGGTGGGGGTGGGTGGGGAGTGTGTCACACACATCCCTCAAAGGGAGAAAGGAAGGCTGACCAGAATACCCTCTCTCTACTCCTCTAAGGCAACAGTGAAGGGAGGAAACAAGAAAAATACAGAGAAAATACCTACTTCCGACAGAAAACAAAAGTCATAAATCAATGAAACCAAATGGGAGATGTCAGACCACACATAACCCATAGCCCTCCATGCAAATCGGAACACGGACAAGGGGAGAAGCACCCCAAAGGGTAGGACACTCGTGTCTGTCCTACCCACACCACCCAGACTTCAGCCCTGAACAGCTGCTCCTTGATGCCCTGGCGTGGCAAGCATGGCCTTGCCCCCAGGAGAGGTCTCCCCAGGCCCCGAACCCGGGAAAGGTCTCCAGGGTCCACTGCAGCTGGCCAAGGGAGCAACTTGGGACCAGGGTTGCATCCGGGAAGCCACAGAGTCCAAGTGCTGGAATCTCTTTTGTAGAAAGAAGGGTGAGAAGCAGCTGAGTGACTCCAGCTTTCTCCCCGGGGGTGCAGGGCCCAGCCCATAGGCCCCAACACAGCACCAGCTGAGGATACTCGTGTTACCTTAGTTACATGTTCTTCCTCCAGGTCATCCTCATCCTCATCCACTCTGTGTGAGACAGAAGAGAAAACAGTCTTCTCTCAGCAAACTCAGCAAAATGCACTGAGCATCTGCTGAGCGCTGGTGATGAGCCCTGGCCATTCCCAGCGATGGGTTCCACCAAGGCAGCAGGTGCTGCTCGCTCAGAAACTCCCCCAGGCAAATGCCAACCCCAGCCTCCCATGGCCACTTAGGTCTGTGGGTGGGGAAATATAAAAAGGAGAAAGGGGCTCAGCACCCCCAACCCAAGTCTTGAGTTGGAAGCCTTGGGCGTCATGGCAGGCTGCTCTCCTCTCTGCCCTCCCTCCGGCAAGCTGGACCCCTCTGAGGTCCCAGGGGGGATATTTGCTCTTCATCACCTCGGGCCTTTGGATGCTCTGTGACTGGAATGCTGTCTCCCCTCACCAGCTCTCAGTCAACTCTAAGATAGCAGCAGAAATGTCACCTCCTCCAAGAAGCCGCCTTTGACCTTCCCCGGTAGGTCTGGCTGCTCTGACACAGATTCATGGCCCCTGCTCTTAACACCTACCTCATTCAAAATCGCTTTCTCTCAGTCTATCGCCCTACAGACTGTCATGTCCACAAGGGAGGACCCAGGTCAGCCTTGACTCTGCTGAGTCCCTGTGGCCTCACCTAGAGCCTGGCATGCGGCAGGAACCCCCTGGCCATCTCCTGGATGAAGCCACAACTGACTGACCAAGTGAACAGAGGACGCTCTCACTTATGACCAGTTACACCTCTTCTGTCAGCGCCTCAGTCTGCCCTTTCCAGCAATGCAGGAAGAGCCGATCAGCACTGGGTGTTGGTGGGGAGGCCAGCCCTGCATCCCATGGCCCGAAGCTGAGCCAGCTTTACTAGTCTACGCTCCTCAGAAACACAAAACCATCTGACAGGCACACACTACCTATGGGAACATCACACAAAAAGAAAACATTTTTGTTCACCTCGAAATTCCTTTCTAACAAAACAGAACACAACTGCCTTGGGTTATCAGAAGAGTAATTATTACAGGCTTGGCTTCATGGTCACTAAAGGGCAGGCAGCTCTATCTTAAAGGCTTGGATCAATCTTATGTCGCATGCTGGACAAAGCCAGCAGGAGCTCAGTGAGCGGCTGGGTGTGTGAAGAAATGAACAGCAAAAGTTTTCTATTCACAACTCAGGTCCTCTGAGGCTCACGTTATCTCCTGAAATGCGAGGGCATGGGAAGCCCCGGAAGCTGACCTACAGGATCCATGGCTCTTGCCCAGACCTGAAGGAGCACTTTGTTCCTGTAATATTCGCCACCTCCACGTCCACTCAAGTTCTCTGCCTTGTCCTCACGGGCTCTAAGGAAGAGGAGGGGGAGCAGAAGCACGACCTTGGAGGCGGGCAGGAAGGGTTCATGGAGCACAAGCTGTTTATGACCCTCTCTCCAGTGAGGCACAAGGCAGCACGGTGGTCTCTGCCCTGGGCAGGCGCAGAAGTCGAGATCCGCATGGGCAGCCTGGAATCACACTACTGGACTGGAACGAGGAAGCATCTGCTCATTCATGTCAACTCGATTTTACTGAGCACACCCCTACGCCAAACGCTGGGTCAGCTCTGGGAACACAAAACTATAAAGACGTGGTTCCTGCCTGAAGCAGCTCGAGCCCAGCCAGGGAGAGGAGGCAACAACAGAAGCACAAGCGGGTGCATGAGCAAAACAGAGCAGCTGACACCCGAGGCCACCCAGATGACACCTGAGCCAGGCCTTAAAGGAGAGGAAGACATCTGCCAAGGGAGGAGGGAAGGGTGTTTGGCTACAGCACGTTGCATGAGCAAATCCTCGGACAGGACAGAGGACGGCCTGGCACGCTGGAGGAAGGTCAGGGCAGCGGGGAAGCTGGCATCTGGTGGAGGGAGGCTGGAGGTGGCGTCAGAAGGCGCCCTGCAGACAGACCGTGAGGGCCGGGGATGAACCTTCAGGAACATCCACAGAAGGTCTCTGGTCTTGCAGTTACCCTCTGACAGATGCGGTGGCCAGGGTGCCACGGGACACACGGGACCCATCACCAGGTGCAGCCCCCCATCCCATCCACATCACCGTTTGGTTTTCCTTGTAGGCAAACACGCTGATTTCACATAGGTGCTATTTGTTTTCATGTCTATTAACTGTCCCCTCCATGTCTTCTTCCCTTCTACGTCCACAGCATCTGGACAGTGCCACACCCAGAGCAGACACTCAGGGATGGTGGTGAGGTTCCAGTGTGAATGGGAACAGGGCTGTCACCAGGGATCCTGTGGGCCCGAAATGGCCTGGGTGGCCTGTTCAGGGCTAAGTCACCCAGCAGCTCATGGCTCATCAAGTGGAAACCTCAAGTCTAGACCAACAGAGGCCTTATGGGAGAAGAAAAGCTCAGGCTAAGGACGCCTTGACGGCTGACACCGCACAGGTTACCCAGCGCAGTCAGCTGCCTCAGAGCCTGAGATCTAGAGCCAGGCCGGCCGAGTTCCAGCCCAGCTCTCCACTGTCGAGGCTTGTGGCCTCAGCCAAGGTGTCTCCCCTTGTGGGGCTGCAGCCTCCTTGTGTATAAGGCACAGATCCAAATGTTCCTGCCCTGCCTGAGCTGCCATGAGGACAGCTGAGAGGACACAGGCCAGGCCAGTGACTGTCCTCACAGCCATTGGCACTCATGGATCCTAGGAAGGACCCGGCTTAGAGCAGAGGGCAGAGGCCACCATGCCTCTTACCAGGTGCTTCATGGCATCTGTGGCATGAGGGAAAGAGCTGTCTTCAAGGGTGTCCCCTGGCCTGGGGCCGGGTAGCGCTGCCACCTCTGTCTCACCCGCTCGCTGCCTTTTTCTCCTCGTCGCTCTCGTATTCGGCAAGGACCAGCTCCTCCTCCATAGACTCCAGCTGCTCCGGCCGCTCAGCCCCTGGGCCTGTCTCTAGCATCTCTCTGCTGAGGCGGAGGAGATTCTCCGTTTCTTCTTCTTCCTGCCTCTGGACAGGAGGAGTGGAGGTGGGGAGGGAGGAAGAAGTCTCAGCACCAGTACCCGCCTCCCAAGTGCCAGAGACAAAGCACGCTACGCCCATTCACAGGGGCCTGGCTGCCTGGCTGGAGAGAGGTCTACTCCCAGGATCCACGCCTCAACCACTCACAGCCCAGCTCCTGTACAGGAGCACATAGCCAGTGAGGATCATGCAGGGGAGACTGAGGCCCTGGCCACGCATCCATGGGCCTCCAAGCAGAGCGACCCTGCCTGGACATAATCCTGCCCCCCAAGAAATGAGGCTCACCAGGCGCTTGGCTGCATATTTGAACTGCGCCCTGTGCTGCAGCTGCTGCAGGCGTTCTTCTCGCTGCTTCCTCCTGGCCTGCTCCGCCTAAAGGAGGCAGACATGAAGGAAAATCACCAGGAAGCCCCTAACCAGGCCTCTCCTAAGGAGTCTGGACGGCTCAGCCCGGCGCCTCCTCACCTGGGGCAGCTCTCCTTCCCCAACCAGCACTCAAGGGCTGCCACATCCCCCACCAGGACCTCAATCCCGCAGGTCCCAGCCTCGCTGCTCACTGCGCAAGGCTGCACACTCCTCCCAAAGCCACACGCTCTCCATCAGATACATTTGCAGCCACTGAACCATGTTGCCAATGGCAATGAACAGGTCCTTTCCCAGGTGAGTAATAAATGGGAACCGACAGTTCGTTGTGTGGAGAAGGCCTGCTGACCTCCAGCTCAAAAAAGATAGCACCAGGGCAGCACCGTCGACCCAAGGAGCTGATGAAGAGCTGAGAGGCACGGCAACGGCAGAGGAACACACACTACCTGAGTCTCGGAATTGCCCCAGAACAATCGCTGAAGCCATGTTTCCTCCATCACTCCCACTTCGGGATACCCCTGGTCTCACCTTTAGTCGATCCACCAGGTCCCTCTCTTCTTTCTTCTGCACAAACTGAGTCACCCAGGCCGGCTCTCCAGCAGGCCTCGCGGTGGCTGCGGCCCCTTCGCAGGAAGACGACAGACACAGGGATTCATCTTTCTCATCATGTAAGGGGCCAGTTCCAGTTTCAAGGAGTCGTGCCTCTTCCTCACGCTTCTTCTGTTCAAAGTCACGGAGCCAGGAGAGGGCTCCACAAATAAGACTTAAGGACTTTCCCTGCAGAAAGAAAAATGATCTTCAGAAACAGGAAAACAACAAAGCGTCCCACATGACCTTTCCCCATTTTAATAAAAGCCTGAAAGAAGGTCTGGCTGTACATATGAGAGGATGCTCTAAGACCAGCCTAGGAAAGGAAAGGAAAGGAAGGAAATTAGCATTAGAATAGCCTGGAAAAACAGAACAGAAGGAAGAAATGAAAACTGGGCCCAAGAAGCAGGAAAGAGCTTCTTTAATTATCCAGCTCACTGTTCTGAAAACAAATTTAAAGCAGTTTATCAGATTATATGTAAATATCACACAAAATCAGAAGCTGAGACATTAGACAAAAAGCCCCCCAAAAGAATTAAGGCCCCCAAATGCTAAGCAAGAAATCCCATGCACTTGTCAACGCGGAGCCTAGCAGCCACTCAGCCTTCATGCGGCTCCTGTGCAGATGCAGGATGATGAGTCACGAGGGCCAGGGTTTACAAGTTTTTTTATTTTTTTATTTTTTAAAGCAAACTAATCACTCTAGAGGACATCACTCTCTCTGTCTGTTTTTGAGAGGAGGTCTTGCTATGTTGCCCAGGCTGGTATGGAACTCCTGGGCTCACACAATTCTCTGGCCTCAGCCTCCCAAGTGGCTGGGACTACAGGTGTGCGCCTCCGCACACAGACTGGAAAACACTACTCTTGACTTAAGACCAGAATTTTCTGTGAGCCTGATTGAATTGTATTCCTCCAAATTCCTATGTTGAAGTCCTAACCCCCAGTGTCTCAGAATGTGGCCTTATCTGGAAATAGGACCATCGCAAACGTAATCAGTTAAGATGAGACTACTAGGACGGGCCCCAGCCTGAAGGGCGAATATCCTTATTAGAAAGGGGACACGTGGATGCAGACATGCACAGAAGGCAGGCGATGTGACGACACCCAAGAAGACGCCACCTATAAGCCAAGGAAAGGGGCCTGAAGAGATCTTTCCCTCGCGACCCTCAGAAGGGCCCAGGCACGCGGACACCTTGATCTCAGCCTCCAGCCTCCAGTGCTGTGGGATGTCAGTTTCTGTTGTTTAAGCCTCACTGTGTGAAGCTTTCCTCCGGCAGCTCCAGGGAACCAATACAGTTCTTCCGGAGAGGACCCTTCAGGGAGCACCACAAGGAGGTGGCCCTGGTGTCCACAGGGGGACTCAGCTCAGGGGAGTCTCTGGAGGAGCCCATGCCTTCTGCTCCAGGCAGTCAGCTCTTCCAGCCTGCTGAACCCAGAGGGGATCTCAGAGTATCGGGTGCGGGGTGAAATACCTGGTTTGACCAGGGTTGGGGCAGCAGCGCAGCACAGGTGTCAGAGCCTCAAATTCCACAGCCAGGCGCCAGGGTTCCAGCTGCCTCCCCAGCCTGCAGCTCTGTGGCTCAGGCTGGCCTCACTATGCTTGTTTCCACGAGTGCAGAAATGGGAATGGCAACAGTAGCACCCTCCTTATAGAAATGGTGCAAGCAGGACATTAACACACATGAAAGGCCAAATCCTCTGGATTAGAGGATTGCCTGGCAAATAACAAGTGAGCAGTTGGAGTTAGCTAATTTTTTGCTATCATTAAGTAATAATAATACAATTATTAATAGCATTATTCTGGGATATGGGATCTATCAGTTTTCATCAGAATCTTGAAGGGCCCTGGGATAGGATAGAATGACACTGTTGACAAATGGATGGATCCCATATTTTTACAAAAGCCCCGTATGTACCATTTCCCTCAGCTTTTGACAGAAAGTAAACGGCAGAGAGTTCCAGGCAGCACTTCCCAGCAGCACCTGGAGGGCGGCTCTTACGTGCTGCCTGTGACATTGGAAGCAGTCAGCTTCAGCTGTCACTGGGCTGGGAGACACAATGGTTAGAAAGCCAGTGCCCTCCATCTGAAAGTGAGCTGAGGAAGTTCCTGAGGGCATGGTCAAAGTTATCTTTCAAAAACAACCGTGGGTACACTCCGGCACAACAACAAAAGAATAACTGAGGCCCATCGTTTTCTACATCCAGTAATGAGACCACAAAACTTTGAGATTGGAAAATGTTAAAAGGATGCATAACCAAAGGCTCACCTTCCTAGGGTATCGTCCCAGATAACACAGTTAAATGATTTATGCCAAGATAAGCAAATTCATTCACTCTGAACACCTGCTGGTGGTAGCAAGCATGGGGCTCAGAGCTGAGGACACAAAGGTGCAGAGCCCCTAGCAAGAGGCCACAGGCCCACATGTAACATACAATTCGAGGGCATCAGAGATCCCTGCAAAGCATGCACTCCAGGTTCGAGGACTCCCAGAACTGCAGTGTTACACAAGGCACAGCACACACCAAGCTGTAATGGTGACTCCACTTCATAGACCGATACACGGCTTAAAAGGTGACTATCAAGGATAAACAGCATCTCAGGCAGCTAAGGTGGGGGCACCTGTGCATCCAAGGCAGGGAAGGGCATGGTAGGTACAACAGGTAACAAAAACCCCACTCAGGGTGTCCCCCAGCACGGCTGCTCCTGTGGGCCGCAGGACACCCGGGACAGGAGAAAACACTCTATTCAGAAGATGATTTAGAAGACAGAAGAATGTCAAAGGTAATAAAGCCACAGGGTACGTTCCCAGAGAGTGCACACAAGATGAGGCTATAGAACCAGAGACATCGACAATTAAAGACTGAGCAGAGGAAGACGACGCGGAAGCCTGGAGTGCAGAAGACTGAGATGGAAAGACCTGAGAGGGAGAAGATGGGTTGTCAGGCTACACAAGGTGAAAGGGGTCAGGTGCAGTGGCTCATGCCTGTAATCCCAGCACTATGGGAGGCCAAGGCAGGAGGACTGCTTGAGCCTGGGGGTTTAAGACCACCGGCCTGAGCAGCATAGTGAGATCTCATTTCTACAAACTAAAAAATTCGCCAGGTGTGATGGTGCGCACCTGTAGTCCCAGCTGCTCAGGAAGCTGAGGTGGGAGGATCACTTGACACCAGAAGGTCGAATGATCCATGCAGTGAACCATGATCTTAACACTGCACTCTGCCCTGGGCAGCAGAGAGACACCCTGTCTCTAAAATTAAAATAAACAAGGCAGAATGAACATGCACTCAACTGTGTTCCAAAAAAACAAAGAAAGTGGAAGGAGTAATATGTTTTAGGAGAGAGGGAAATGAAGACAGAGACATCGAAGTGATTCGACAGAGACACTCAAGCCCAAGTGTCCCCAGAGATCTCCCCTATTCACTCTCAGAAAGACTCAGGAAGTGATAGGAAAGACAGGTCACTGAAAACAAAGGGACGGATTAAAATTCTTTTCAAGAACAATTAGATCCCCAGGTTGCAATCCCTGCTCCTGCTCCTTGCAGAAGACAGGAAGTGGGCTCTCAGTGGAAGCTGAGCTAGGAGAGCCCTGGAGGCAACAGGCAGAGTGAGGAGGCCAGGGGGAAGGGGAGGAGGGCCAGGCTGAAAGCAGGCACTGAGGCGGACTCTCCACCTGGAGCCTCTTCCCCAGACCACCTCTAGGAAGACTGGCTGTCAGATTTCAGCCCTTGTACCTGCTGGGCCAGAGCGTAGAGGCACCTGCGCTGGAGAGACCGAAGACTCTAGGGAAAATCCCACAGATGTGCTGGCAACTGGAGGCCCCCAACAAAGGAGCCCAGCCTGGCAGCCACAGCCAGCCTGCCCTGCAGACTCAGTCTTTCTGTATCCTGTTCTTCAGCATACACAGGCAGTCCAGGGCCGCTAGACGTTTGAGGAAAGCCTCCAAATGGACATATACCCTGCTGTGGTGTGGGTGCGGCTGTCTGTCCCAGCAACACTCATGCTGAAATCTGTCAAGTCAGTCTGAGGAGCAACTAATTCAAATGACAGGGAAAGGATGGAGGATTCCAGGAGGGCTCCAAGGTAAAAATGGAATTGGTTACTGCTGTGGATTAAATTGTATCCCCACCAAAATGCATGTTAAAAAAATGTTTTCAAAGAACAAAAACAAAACAAAAGAAGCTGTGTATGGTGGTGTGCACCCGTAATCTCGGATCTTGCCAGCCACTAGCTACTTGAGAGGCTGAGAGGCGAGGACGCCTGAGTTCGAGACCAGCCTGGGCCACACAGTGAGACTCCCCATCTTAACAAACATATGTTGAAATCCCAACCCCACCATGGGACTGTACTACAGATCCGGCCTTTAAGGGTAAAGGAGGTCATAAGGGAGCAGCAGTAAGGGAACAGCCCTTGTCCTCATAAAAGAGAACGACACCAAAGATCTGTTTTTCTCCTCCTCTTTTTAGCTTGTTCCACAGCAAGAAGGCAGCCATCTGCAAGCCGGGAAGAGACCCCCTCCCCAGAACCAGAACCCTGCCAGAACCTTGATCTTCAACTTTCCAGCCTCCAGAATGGTGACAAATAAATTCCTGTTAAGTCACCCGGTCTATGGTATTTTACTATGGCAGTCCTGGCCGACTAAGACAGGAATTTTCTGTATGGAAAATTGTATTGAGAGGCCATGGGATGATGTGGGAGGAACTGGCATAGGTATATTAAAAACTGAACTAACTTTAAAAAGGCACTTATTAACTCTGAAAAAACAGAGTATTAAGACATATTGTTGAAGACAAGATTATGCTCAAAATGTACACTGAAGGATGGGGAAAGAGAGGGAAAAGAGTTTGTAAGGAAGCCGTCTCATCTACCATAATAGGAAGGCACCAATGACTTCAGCCTAATTTTTCTCAGATCATGGAGCTATGTTTAAGACTTCAGGCCAGGCACGGTGGCTCATGCCTGTAATCCTAGCACTTTGGGAGGCCGAGGTGGGTGGATCACAAGGTCAGGAGATAGAGATCATCCTGGCTAACACAGTGAAACCCTGTCTCTATTAAAAATACACACAAAAAAATTAGCCGGGCTTGGTGGCGGGCGCCTGTAGTTCCAGCTACTCGGGGAGCTGAGGCAGGAGAATGGCGTGAACCCAGGAGGCGGAGATTGCAGTGAGCCGAGATTGCGCCACTTCACTCCAGCCTGGGCGACAGAGCAAGACTCTATCTCAAAAAAAAAAAAAAAAAAAAGACTTTAATAGAGGAAGTGACTATTACCCAGAAAGATAAACTGAGACTACTCTGCCCAACTTCAAACTATGAACACCTCTAGACAGGCAAACAGGAAAAGCTAGCATGGCTGCCGTTACGTTGTCTTTATCAGTATCTCTCACTATTCATACTCACAGTGCCAGTTGGACTCTCAAATATCCCAATCTTGCCAGCCTCCAAAACCCGGTAAAGCTCTGCCATGAAGTCTTCCTGGATGGAATAGGGCGTGAAGGGAAAAGGAAAATGGATGGTACCAACTTTCTGTGTTTCATTAGCCATGGACCTAGGAAAAATAAATACAACATGTTAAGCTCTCTCATGGTCCAGGAAGAAGTGGCTTGAAATCTGCAGCAGTATCTAAGAGCAGTTTCCACACTTGTTACCAAATTTCTCCTTGGGTTGTACATTTTTCTGGGAAGCAGAGACCTTGTTCTTTCCATCCTTTGCAGGTCCGCATGAGGCCATACCAGAATCATGCAATCCACCTAGCGACATGTAACGAACGACTCTAGCAGAATGCAGACCGGGAAAGCCCCTAAACTGAATCTCCCCTGCCATTTCACCGTGGCTCCGACACCTTCCTAATGCCTCTACAAAAGGCTTAGAGCTCTCTTCTCAAAGACAAGCACCCCTAGGATCTAGGGTGTTGCTTATAATTACTTTCTTCTCCCACTTCTCTGCAATGCACATTCACAAGCCGAAGTTACTTCACTTTATCCCGTTGTGAGGTCCTGGAAAATCATGACTCACAGGCAGAGGACCACAAACACAGCTTGTTTGGATGGTGCAAGTTAACGTACACATCCTTATAAGTATCTTTAGTTTGCTTCTTAGTTCATCCTAGCCTCCATTTCCAGCACCAGCCAGAGCCGCCTCCTACTAATTTTTCTGGCCTCAAGACGCATGAACTTTCTGTTTGGCTCCAGACAGGAAAGCTCTCTTCACAGTCACGGATCTCTGGCCGGAACAGCTTCCCAGTACTGAGACAAGGCATTTCTCTTTCCTTGCTAGGCTAAGGGCTAAGAAAAGCTCTGCTCCGCATTGACGTCATCTTTTTTTCCTCCTCTTCTGAATCTAATTATCTCTGAGATAGTGTTTACCTCTCCTCTCTTCCTTGAACTGCCATCTGGAGGCCTGACTCTTCCATCCTGGTTCCCACACCTCTCTCTTTGGAATTCGCTTCTCCAAGCTATTTGCCAGGTCTGTCTCTTCTAAGCACAAATGTTAGTAAGTCCCAAACCTATTTTACTAATATTAATAGATCGAGAGCCTATCTTTGTAACTTTGGCCTCAACAAGAGTAGTGATAGTGTCACTGTATTTACGAGGGGAAAGGTAGTTGCCACGATGCTTTTCGGTTTAGGGGCAATTAACACCACTACAGATTGGTGGCAGTTTATGGATTTGCACAGGAAGAGAGAACTCACAGAACTAGCACTATTTTACGCTCTGTCTTTACAGAGGTGTATCTGGCTGTTTTGTCAGACATTCTGGGGACAAGAAAAAATGAAAAAAGAAAAACATGACTACAGAGGTAGAGGAATAATTACAAGAAGGGTAATTAAAAAACACTATGACAATTCAATCCTGAGCGAGGGGTATGGACTAAAAAAGCTTTACCACATGAAGGAAGGGGAAGAACGGTACCTAATAAATTTTGAGGATCTGCTATGTGTTAAACACTCTACAGGGCCTTTTGCTTTTCTTATCTCATTTAATATGGCCGGGCGCGGTGGCTCAAGCCTGTAATCCCAGCTCTTTGGGAGGCCGAGACGGGCGGATCACGAGGTCAGAAGATCGAGACCATCCTGGATAACACGGTGAAACCCCGTCTCTACTAAAAAATACAAAAAACTAGCCGGGCGAGGTGGCGGGCGCCTGTAGTCCCAGCTACTCGGGAGGCTGAGGCAGGGGAGTGGCGTGAACCCAGGAGGCGGAGCTTGCAGTGAGCTGAGATCCGGCCACTGCACTCCAGCCTGGGCGACAGAGCGACTCCGTCTCAAAAAAAAAAAAAAAAAAAATCTGTACAACACTATAAGGATACAGCTATCGGATACTGATTCTTATAGAAATTAATTGCTCAAAGTCACAGCTAAAAAGTGGAAAACCAGGGATTCGAATCCAGGTCCAAATGACTGTGCTTTAGTGAAGCTCATCCGGTTGCAAGAGATATCCAGCGTAAGTAAAGGGAGGCTCACTGAAAGGAGGTTCACAAACTGAGAGTAAGAATTGAAACTATCTGGGAAAGCCAAAAACAGAAGCAGACTAAAGCGGCAAGGGAGCTCAGACTTCAAGACAGCTCCAGAACGTCACCAGCAACACGCACCCACGGGGTTCACTCTCCTGCTCAGCCGGGCGCCGGACACGCCACAATCTCACTCCCTCGGCGCACTCGGTTTCTGCTTACCCCACACTGGAGCTTGCACGTGGCCTCGTCAGCCCCTGGACCTTTCAGCTTCGGCTCCCACTGCCAAATAAAAAGTCTTGATGTCTCCCTGTTCTGAATCCCAAGAGAAAAAGCTGACCAGCAGCTCCTCTCCAGACAGAACACTGGTCAGCCTGATACCGGTCAGGCTCCCGGCCTCATCTACTCAGCTCGGGTCTTGCACTTGCTGCTCCCCTTGGCCTGGAGAAGGAGGAGTCCTCAATATCCAGGCCTCGGCTCAGGCTCACCTCCTCAGAGAAGGCTCTCTGGCTGTCTGGCTACTGGACAGGGGTCAAACACCACCCCCACTCCTCAACCCCTAGCTTGCTCTAAGTCACTTTTTAAAAATCACATTACTCTGTATTTAACTTACTCATAGCTCTTAGCACCATCTGAACCTATTTATTCTTCCTCACTGGAATATAAGTTCCATACATAGAGGAACCTTGTCTGTCTTGTTCTTCTCTGGCTCCAGGACTCAGAATGAGGTGCTTCAACACCTCATAGGCATTCAACAAAAATGTGATGAACGAATGAGTAGCCAGCCAGACATGCGGGCTGTATAAGTAAAGGTTTCTGTTCCAAGGCTGGGTAATGGAGGTCCCACGACTTCAATACCTATCTAGTTAAATGGCTAGTTCTTTAGTGGTTTCGAACCGTTTTCACATAACCCCACAACAACCCTGTGTGGTCAGTATTTTTATAAGCTCTATTTTATAAAGAAAGAAACTGAGACGCAATAAACTTAAGTGACTAGCCCAAGGTCACTCAGCAAGTGCTTGAACTCAGGATTTGAACCACATCTGCCAGATGGCCATGGCACCTGAAGCTTTGTATCTCCTCACTTTTTCTCCCACCAGGGTAAGTGGGATAAAAAAGACAGACTTGGTTATCAAACTCTAGAATGACAATACTAAACAATACAGAAGAAACGTTAAGTATTATTTCATTTCCCCGTCAGTGGTAATTATAGATCTCATTATTCCAGAAGCAGCACAGGCTAAATCATAGAGGTTTAGATAAATCTGAGTAAAACGGATTCACTAAGCCAGATTAAAAACATTTGCAGTGACTTGTTCAGCCCTCTTCAGGTTGGCTGTGTGGACGGAGGACAACCATCACCTCCCTGTGCTAAGGCACACACCAGGACAGCAAATCTCATGCTCATTAAACGAGGTAAGAGTTGTGAAAGCACTTCAGGAACATATTGGTTCTTTTCTTTCTTTTATTTTTTTTTTGAGACGGAGTCTTGCTCTGTCGCCCAGGCTGGAGTGCAGTGGCGGGATCTCAGCTCACTGCAAGCTCTGCCTCCCGGGTTTAGGCCATTCTCCTGCCTCAGCCTCCTGAGTAGCTGGGACTACAGGCGCCCGCCACCACGCCCGGCTAATTTTTTTGTATTTTTAGTAGGGACGGGGTTTCACCGTGTTAGCCAGGATGGTCTCGATCTCCTGACCTCGTGATCTGCCCGCCTCGGCCTCCCAAAGTGCTGGGATTACAGGCGTGAGCCACCGCGCCCGGCCCATGTTACTTCTTAAAAGTGTTCGTTTTCTTCGGTCCCCAATTATCACTCATTACTGAGTACAGACTATTGCTATGGGCTCAATTTTGTCCTCCCCACGTTGATCTTGGACGTCCCAAGCCTCTGGGACTGTGAGAAAACACATTTCTGTGTCGAAGCCACCCAGTTTATGGTCTTTTGTTATGGCAGCCGGGGCTGACCAGGACAACTATGTGGCAGGTACTACCTACCATATGGCCCTAAAATGTTTTAACTTCACACACCTGGAAAGCACCACAGCCCCAAGAGAAAAGCTTTTCCGCACTGCTGTTAAGCCAGGGCCACACACTGCAGTGCTGTGGTGCTCCACCAGCTGGAGGATGGCCTGGCCCATAAAACCCACATTCCCACCTTGCTCTGGCCCTGTCTCCCCTCCCACCTGCATCCTGAGCTTGCACCCTGTGTGGAACCCACCAGCGGCTTATGAGCATTTAAGTCCACGTTTATGACACTTCCGTCAACAATCTGGTCAACTGCACTCATCCCTGGCCTCTGTACTGTACCCTGCTCCGCCTCGATTCCGGCCCTAAGGGAAGCTAGAGCCATGGAGCCCTTAACTTTATCGGCTCTGGGCTCAGATTGCCAAGTTTAGGATCCCAGCTGTATCCTTGCTAAAGTTAGTATCTCTGGGACTCAGTTTCTGCATCTGTAAGAGACAGGTGGGTCACAGTGCTCACTCACTGCTGCAGTGTCTTATCTACGTAAGATAATCCATGAAAAGCTCAACATAGCTGGGCCAAAATAGCTGGGCCAAATGTAAGACCCAGACGCGCGGCTGCTGTAAATACCGACTCCTGCGCACCGCCCAGTTCCACCGCAGGCACAACCTTCGCAGGCCTGCCCAGTCTCCGCACAGGGTTCTCGCCTGTCAATCACGCTGGCCCCGCCCTCCACTTCCGGAATAATTTCCCGCTCCGAACTGGCCACCTACCTTTGCATACAGGGGTCCCGCAGACGTCTAGTTTGCGATTTCACCAGAGTCGCTCTTCCTTGTCCCGCTGCTCCTCGTCCTCAGCTCTGCCGCGCGCTCACCTTCTTCGCCGGCAGAATTGCTACGCTGAAAGCCAGGCCCAGGGAATCGGGGCAAACGCCGCTGCATTTGAAACTGGCGGCTCCCCTCAATGAAAGGCTGCCGGAACAACCCCCGCCGCTGCGCATGCGCACTCCAGGACGCGCGCGAACACGCAGCCGCCGTAATCTGGAGGGGGCGTGGTTTGCGCGCTCCGGAACTCGGAGCTCACCTCAGGGTTCGATGCCTCGTCCCGCTGCTTTCCGCCCGCTGCGGGCTATGTGATTAATCCCCGCCATTAGCGCCAGTTGTACGGAGCGCTGGACGGTTGCCTGACCAGATGAAACATCAGCCGATGTTCCAACGCCCAGGGACGGGCGCTGTCCCCGAAACGGGAAACCTGTCTTCTGGTCCCGGCTCTAGTCGGCCTCTGGAGATCCGCAGCTCGGTTATTTTACCTCTGAAACGGACGACACCTGCACTGCGCATCCCAGCGGCTCCTCCACGCGGAGAGACAGTGTCAGTGAAAGGCCGTCTAGATGACGAGTTGATGAAATCGTTTCTGCCCCGTGCGGGGCACGACCTTGCGGAGGGCCCGGAAGACCCAGCCCTGCCTGGAGCTTACCTGCTAATTAGGAGGACAACGCATCGCCTCACCTCCCTGGACTTTGCTTCTCCTTTATTCAGTGAGGGATTGGACTAGCTGATCCTTAAGAACTTTTCAGAAAGTCTGGTTCTGGCAGATGATCAATGGGAGCATCTCATGCTACGGGCTTTCGTGAATGACAGGTAATTGGTGCACCTTCCCAGCAGGGTCAGGGGGAGTTGCTGGGACTTGAAGGAAAGGCTTCTGGGGAGAGGAGCCAGTGTTAACAAGCTGTCGAAAAGCTTGGAGGTGGGAATTTACAAAAGGTGATTCCAGGATCAGTTATTTTTTGTCACCTGCTTCCTTATTGGGCAGTTTGGAGAGGGCGAGGAAGTAATACCCTTCAGGGTCTTGGGATGTGGCCAGCAGAATCCTTAGAGGGTCTTTGAAGTCTTAGTTTTAAGTGTAGAATTCATGGGCAGAGTACTTAAATACACTTTTCTCCAAAGAAGATGTACAGGTGGCTCACAGGCCCATAAAAATGTTGCATTCTACCCTATAACATCTGTGTGTGTTTTTGCATAAAAACAGAGTTTTAAAATAACTTGTCTAGTAAATTGACATCTCTAGAATAGAAGGTACGCTAGGTTTTTTACCCTATTGCTTCAAACACCATCCCACACAGCCGCACTCCTAGGGTAGGAATCGTCCAGTTTAAGAAGCACCATTGGAGGAATAGAAAGTGATAGGACGTGAAGGTCGCTCGGGGTCTGGTTGTAGAAGGCTTTAAACAACAAGCTAATAAATTTAGACTTCGCACTGTAGACAAGTTACAAGTCACTGAAACATTTTTAAACAGAGGAGTGGATTTGCAAATGCAACCTCTTGGAAATACTAAGCTGGAAGCGGTGTGAAGGATGGTTTGGCGGGGAGACCAGAAGCAATCAGCCAAGTTGGGTTGTGCAGTAAACCAGACAGTGTGCAGTAGGGGCTTGGACCTCAAGAGTGGCAATAGACACGGAGAGGACAAAGGCCGTTCCCACCAGGCTGTAAATCTGGATTGTGTCCCTCCATCCTCTCCTCACTTCTGCCCTGGAGGCTTATGTTTAGAGAGCTGTACTCCTAACATGAGGCCCTGGGCTTTGTCTCAAAGGTAAAGGCAAAAGTTCCTTATGTGGACTACCTCGGCATTTATTATTAAACAGCCTTAGATGATGCCATTGATGGAATGAACTCAGAGACCTTCATAAACTCCTCGCAAAACTCAGGGCTAGGAAGAAAAGTTCTTGTACTAATGTAGAAATATTTTCTATAACCGCACAGTGAGAGCTATAGAAACCCATTATGCATTCTTCTTTGCCTTCACTGCTAGTGATCTCACGGCTAAATATGGTACATTGTTTTAGTTTTCTTCGGCCAGCATTTTTAAATTTTGTTGTTGTTGTTGTTCTCACTCCTTCTTGCTAATTTTAAGTACATGTTCTAATAAAGTGTGACTGCCTGGATCCAGATTCCCTACTCCACCATTTAACTAGCTGGATGACCTTGGCGTATGATTTAAGCCTTCTGAGTCTCTGCTTTTCTCACGAATGAAATAAAGATAATAATAGAACTTATGTTCTAGAATTCTTACAAGATAAATGAGATAGTCCTGGTAACATAAAAGGCTTAACATCTAACATATCATTGTGGAAGCTTAACAAATGGTAGCTATTACCGATATAAATTGGGTTTGGTTTCAGCATTCCTGTGCTTTTATTATAAATTTCCTTAGATCCTCTTCTAGAAAGAGAGCGTGTAGAACGTACAAGTTTGTTTTCAACAAGCAATTCTCTCGGGAGCTGAGAGTGAGAACTCAGTCACTCCTGCCGTGATGGCAGCAAGCCTTTCATGAGGGATGTACCCCCATGCTCCAGACATCGCCCACCGGATGCCACCTCCAACACCGGAAATCAGATTTCAACATGAGACTTGGTGGAGCCAAACAAACCATATCCAAACTGTAACACCTAGGTAGTGGAAAAGGCTCATGAAATGTGCCTGTGCTATAAGAGAAAACATCATTAAAGACAAGATTGTTCTGTCCCCAAGGCCCTGCATGCCTCACTCTGGAACAGTGCAAGATGTACCCTAATAATATTTGCTTCTCTGAACCCTAGTTTCTTGGATTATTATGTCTATCTTGATATATTACTTTAGCTCATTAAGCCACACCATAGTGGGGTGGGACATATTATTTCTTCACATAATAGGTTGATGTACTTAGTCAAACTAAATTTTCAGTAGTGTTTGAAAATGGGCACTAGAACTCAGGAAGGTGGTAAAATCTGGATATATGAATTTGATCACTCCTGGGAAACAACAAAAACATCTAAACTGAAGCTATGGAGGTAGTAAGATTGCTGAAAGGAAGTTTCCAAAAGGAAGGAGGTATCCACATATAAAAGAATGAAGTAGGATCCTTGTCTTATACAATATATCCAAATTAACTTAAAATGGATTTTCTGAAGTTGAAGTTAAAGTTTAAAATTAAAGTTAAAAGCACGCTGTAAAACTATAAAACTGGTGGAATAAAATAGAGGGGAAAAACTTTATGACGTTGCATTTGGCAATGATTCCTTGGCTATGACACCAAAAGCACAGGCAGCAAAAATAAAAATATTGATGATGAGTTGAGGGATTTGTAAAATAACATACAAATAGATGAACTGGACAACAACAAAAGCTAGAACTTCTGTGCATTGAAGGACAAGATCAACAGAGTGAAAAGGCAACCTACAGAATAGGAGCAAGTATTTGTAAATCATCTGTCTGATAAGGAGTTAATAACCAGAATCTATGAAGAACTTCTATATCTCAGCAACATGAAAACAATCTGATTAAAAAATGGGCAAAATACTTAAATAGATATTTCTCCAAAAAAGATGTGCAAATGGCCCACAGGCACATGAAAAGATGCTCGACATCCCAGTCACTGGGAAAATGCAACTCAAAGCCACAATGAGGTACCACTGCAACCCATTAGGATAGCCACTATTACACACACACACACACACACACACACACGCACACGCACACAGACACACAGAGCCAGGCACAGTGGCTTATACTTGCAATTCCAGCACTTTGGGAAGCTGAAGTGAGAGGATCACTTGAGGGCAGGTGTTCAAGACCATCCTGGGTAACATAGTGAGACCAGACCTCTACAAAAAATTTAAAAAAATATTATGGGGGAATGGTGACACACACCTGTAGTCCCAGCTACCCAGGAGGCTGAGGTAGGAGGATTGTGTGAGCCCAGGAGTTCAAGGCTGTAGTGAGTCATAACTGCACCATTGCACTACAGTCTGAGTGACACAGCAAGACCCTGTCTCAAAAAAAAAAAAGAAAGAACCTCAAAAAACCCAAAAGGAACAAAACAAAAAATAAATGATGGCAAGGATACCCAGAAATTAGAACTTTTATACATGGCCGGTGGGAATGTAAAATGGTATAGCCACGATGGAAAAAAATTAAAAATAGAATTACCATATGATCCAGCAATTTCATGTCTGGGTATATGACTAACAGAAGTAAAAGCAGTGTCTTGAAGAGACTTTTGTACACCCGTGTTTATAACAGCATTATTCATAACAGCCAAAAGGTGGAAGCAACCCAAGTGTCTACCGACAGATGGATGGATAAAGTGTGGTGTATACATACAACAGAGTACAACTCAGTCCAGGAAGGAAGTTCTGACACAGGCTACCACAAGGATGAGCCCCGAGGCTATTATTTGTATTAGGGTTCTCCAGAGAAACAGAACCAGCAGGGTGTGTGTGTGGCGGGGGTGTGTGTGTGTGTGTGGGTGTGTGTGTCTACCCAGAGATAAAAAGAGGTTTAAGGAATTAGCTCTTGCAGTTGTGGAGGATTGGTGAATGAAAATCTGATTGTATTGGCTGGCAGGCTGGAGACCTAGGGAAGAGTTACAGTTCAAGTCCAAAGGCAGTCTGCTGGCACAATTCCTTGTTCAGGGAAGGTCGGTCTTTGCTCCAGTAAGGTCTTCACCTAACTGGGTGAGGTCCACCCACATTATGGAGGGTAATCTGGTTTACTTAGAGTTCATTGATTTAAATGTTAATCTCATCCAAAAAAAACACCTTCAGA